GTTCCTATGCTTCCTGGCTGATGTTTTAGTCACTTTTGAATGCTGGCGGTGCTTTCACTCTAGTGGTAGCATGAGACGGAGTCTATAACCCACACAAGTGGCTCAGGTAGTGCAGCTCATCCAGGATGGCACATCAATGCGAGCTGTGGCAAGAAGGTTTGCTGTGTCTGTCAGTGTAGTGTCCAGAGCATGGAGGCGCTACCAGGAGACAGGCCAGTACAGGAGATGTGGAGGAGGCCGTAGGAGGGCAACAACCCAGGAGCAGGACCGCTACCTCAGCCTTTGTGCAAGGAGGAACAGGAGGAGCACTGCCAGAGCCCTGCAAAATGACCTCCAGCAGGCCACAAATGTGCACGTGTCTGCTCAAACGGTCAGAAACAGACTCCATGAGGGTGGTATGAGGGCCAGACGTCCACAGGTGGGGGTTGTGCTTACAGCCCAACACCGTGAAGGACATTTGGCATTTGCCAGAGAACACCAAAATTGGGAAATTCGCCACTGGTGCCCTGTGAAAGCAGGTTCACACTGAGCACATGTGACAGACGTGACAGAGTCTGGAGACGCCGTGGAGAACGTTCTGCTGCCTGCAACATCCTCCAGCATGACCGGTTTGGCAGTGGGTCAGTAATGGTGCGGGGTGGCATTTCTTTGGGGGCCGCACAGCCCTCCATGTGCCCGCCAGAGGTAGCCTGACTGCCATTAGGTACCGATATGAGATCCTCAGACCCCTTGTGAGACCATATGCTGGTGCGGTTGGCCCTGGGTCCCTCCTAATGCAAGACAATGCTAGACCTTATGTGGCTGGAGTGTGTCAGCAGTTCCTGCAAGACAAAGGCATTGATGCTATGGACTGGCCGACCCCTTCCCCAGACCTGAATCCAATTGAGCACATCTGGGACATCACGTCTCGCTCCATCCACCAACGTCACGTTGCACCACAGACTGTCCAGGAGTTGGCAGATGCTTTAGTCCAGGTCTGGGAGGAGATCCCTCAGGAGACCATCCGCCACCTCATCAGGAGCATGCACAGGCGTTGTAGAGAGGTCATACAGGCACGTGGAGCTCCCCCCCTCCCCCCCCACACACACACACACTACTGAGCCTTGTTTTGACTTGTTTTAAGGACATTACATCAACGTTGGATCAGCCTGTAGTGTGTTTTTCCACTTTAAATTTGAGTGTGACTCCAAATCCAGACCTCCATGGGTTGAAAATTTTGATTTCCAATTTTAAATTTTTGTGTGATTTTGTTGTCAGCACATTCAACTATGTAAAGAACAAAGTATTTCAGAAGAATATTTAATTAATTCAGATCTAGGATGTGTTATTTTTGTGTTCCCTTTATTTTTTTGAGCAGTGTAAATATAGACCTCTAAAAACATAATAATCCATTACAATAATTTCGATCAGAGTTTATAAGATCAAAGTATATGCTTGCAATATCCGTAAAATAGAACATAGCCTTTGAACAAATCAACCTCTCAGTCATGTAAAAATGAAGCAGCATCTCGGTCTTCCAAAATTCTCTCCTCTGTCCCTCTAACATTGATAAGTACACATATTTATACCTTAGATTTTCAATTAAGTCATGTTAGGACCTACCTTAACTTGGCAAAGATACAAGACCATGACTTGGTCATTTCACATGGGAACATCTTAATCAGGCTATTGTTATGACGTATTTTAATGTGGAAAGTAATCCAGGCACTCCAAAAGTCTTCCAAAAATAGGCAATTTTACTGGACCCAAGCACCAAAATACAATGTTTCAAGGTCTTTGTCAAGCTACTAAACACATAAACAGCAAACAATATATAGGTGTATACTTAATTAACAAGTGCCAAAACATGTGACATAAGATTGATTAACTCAATTACTTAATAAATCATACAATCACTTAGTGATCATTATTCATTCCCCATCATACCTTATCCAATACATCAGGGCTGTCAGTTCTCACAGGACAATATAATCAATTAATAAAGAAATTCCGATCGGTAAGAGTTTAATTTAATACATACACTGATTCAGGGGATGCCGGTACGAATTAATTGCTTGTATTTCCGGGTCGGTCATATGATACCAATCATGCGATTCAATCTAACGTATTAGGGCATATTTCCTGACAGGTCACATGATAATGTCCACACTGACCATACCTACCGCGCATGCGCTGTGTTGTTTTTAATCACTCGATCATACTTTCATTTAAGTCCAGATCCCACCCAGAACACATGCGTAACAGAGCGCACGCGTAATACTGCCAATTACCATTCAGCCGACCAACTACCATATAAATCAATAATTTATATGAATGGTAATTGGCAGTATTACACCAAAATGAGAATCTTAAAGGGGAACGATCAATTCTATGACATTTATACTATTTCATAAAACACTGGAAACCACCTATAACTTGTGTTTAACAATTTTTCATAAGATGGTCCATTTACATTTATATTACAGATTTAGCAAACATCATAATCCAGCTCAGACTAGGCAAAGCCAGGGCAAACATGGTCTCTGAAGTGGGAAAAATAAAAACATTGTTAATTTCTCCTCTTCCCTGTAGGTTTTCTCTATGCTCACTGCCAGGTGCAAAGGAGAGAGTTTATAACAATTATTTACAGAAAGATGGAGGCAACCATTGCAGAATCAAGAGCTAATCATTTCGACATTTGTAATGTATTTTTACAACTCACAACTACATATTTGTTAAATATAGGGTTAAAGGACCACTCTAGGCACCCAGACCACGTCAGCTTAATGAAGTGGTCTGGGTGCCTGGTCCAGCTAGGGTTAACCCCTTTTTTTTTTTTTTTTAAATAAACATAGCAGTTTCAGAGAAACTGCTATGTTTATAAATAGGTTAATCCAGCCTCTAAAGCCTCTAGTGGCTGTCTCATTGACAGCCGCTAGAGGCGTTTGCGTGCTTCCCACTGTGAAAATCACAGTGAGAAGACGCAAGCGTCCATAGGAAAGCATTATGAATGCTTTCCTATGAGACTGGCTGAATGCGCGCGCAGCTCCTGCCGCGCATGCGCATTCAGCCCAAGAGGAGGAGGAGAGCTCCCCGACCAGCGCTGGAGAAAGAGGTAAGTTTAACCCCTTCCTCCACCTAGAGCCCGGCGGGAGGGGGTCCCTGAGGGTGGGGGCACGCTCAGGGCACTATAATGCCAGGAAAGAGAGTATGTTTTCCTGGCACTATAGTGGTCCTTTAACTAAACCTAGTTTAAAAAACAGAAATGAGAATTGACAGTTCCCCTTTAAAGGACTATCTAAAGAAGGGATTAATGGTGGTAACAGAGAGAGAGATAAGCTTGTGTGTGATCTTGAAACCCCATTCAGTGCTATCACATAATCACACCAAAAGGAAGAATCTGGCAATGATACCTCACGAAATAAGAATCCATAACAAGTCCACCTACTCAGTTTATTCTTTCACAGAACCCAATATGAGTATTCCTGGTGTCAAAATAGTTCAAACGCATCTAAATAAGTGGGGACATTCCCAATTAACACATTTTATCACATCTGTCAAAGTCAAAAAGATCATAGCAAACACCAACACTTAAAAAAAAAAAAAAAAAAATCTGTTAGTCCAATAAAATAAATAAACAAAAGGTATCAAATGAAAGTGCAAAACCTCACTATTTTGCATCTACATTACTGGACCAATAAGGCAATGTACGGTAAATGTTATAATCTTATCTAAGCATGGCTAAGGACCTGAAAATAGAGTGGGCACCCCCCTCAATAAATGACCAAAAAGCTTTTCATAATTAGCTGCTTACCCTCTCAGGAGTACCTTCAACCATCAATAAGTGTGAAGGAAAAAACTACAGAACTATTACGACATGCACAACTTGTTTTTATTTTGTTTGTTTTTTCCTAGCACAATCATCCTCACCATGCCAATAGCATTGTCTTATTTTTATTACTGCAGCAAAACTGAGGAAGAACCGATTCACCTGCCCCTATGGACCAGTCTCCTCTGGCAAAAATACAAATTGTAACAAGCTGGGATGGCACACCAGAATACGTTGACTTTGTAGCACAGAAATGGGCAATATTAATTTTTGACTAAAGAGGAGTATATCTCTCTCTCTCACACACACACCTTTTCATTATTTTATAAAATCCGTAGAAAATGTACATAAATACGTTCATAGACCATGAACAATACTCCTGGAGTGGGTATAAATGCTGTGCTCGGGGTTCTGTACTTTCACTAAGTAACTCTTGTGCTGAAGTGTTATAATCTTGAAATGTCAAGATCCCACGAGACGGAAAAGCCTGCAGTCTATTCCCAAAGCCTTCAAATGCTCTGCTTAACCATGTAGATTTTCCTTCAAAATGCAGACACAAAGGAAAAAGCACAGGTTAAAAATAAAAGTTTATTAAATTTACATTACAAACAAATAAATATTGTTTTCTCAAACATTTCTTAAAGAATTAAGCCAGAGGTAGGCGATCTTCGGCACACCAGATGTTGTGGACTACATCTCCCCTGATGCTTTGCCAGCATTATGGCTGTAAGAGCATAATTCGAAATATAGTCCACAACATTTGTTGTGCCAAGGTTTGCCTTAAATGGACACCTCCAGAGTAGATTGATTAATCAGGATTGTAATGCATTAATAAAACTGCATTTAAAATAAACTATTAGCTAAATTACCACTCTACACAAAAAGCATGTATGTAAATGTGGGGAAGACCAAGCTACAACCATCGTCACTTTTTCTTTAACTCTTTGAATTTGTATAACTGTGCACTCATCCCCCTCCCGCCCAGACCTTTAATCCTGGGCGGGAGGGTACAGAGTGCAGATTTCTAGGTTTTCTAACTAGGAGAATAAGAATTCAATACCTACCAACATTGGAAGTTATGCATTCAATACAAAGCATATAGGGGTGATTCTGCTAGGGAGAATGAGAAGGGCACAACACAGTGCCTCACATCTCTCTCATACAGCCCCTGGAGCAGGGATAGGCAACCTTCGGCACTCCAGATGTTGTGGACTACATCCCCCATAATGCTGGCAAAGCATCATGGGAGGTGTAGTCCAAAACATCTGGAGTGCCGAAGGTTGCCTATGCCTGGTCTAGAGGCTCTGTGAAAATTACCCCGGATGTCTTCACTCTTTACATAAGGATGTACGGCATCTTCAAAATCCCAGTAGGAAAGAAGTAATTCACTGCCTTCTACTGGAAAGGGCAGAATGTGAGCGCGATGCTCGCTGCGCATGCACATTAGCTACTTCTCATTGCCAACATCAGAGGAGGCGGAGACAGAGACAGCGCCAAGGGACATCAGTGCTGGAAAGAGGCACGTATAAAGGTTTTCTTTAACCTTAAAGGTTTACTCAAAGCACCATGACCACTTCAGTGTTTTAAAGTAATCATGGTGCTTGGACTCTTTATGTTTGGCTTGTAAGTTTGAAAGTCTGCACATACTGCGATATCAGAGGTGTAACGCTACGTCCATGAGGGTAATCAGCCAGCCTGGCAGAGAGTTCAGGACAAGCTAATGTAAATTCTTTGATTATTCTTTGGCTAAAAGCGCTCAGCTGATGCACAGATCACCAGCAACATTTCATCATACGTGCTTATTTGGTTTTCTTCAAGCTTTGAAAACAAAGGTTTTAGTTAAAACAAGTGAAGAGCACACTTTCGCTTCCACAAGCTGATACCTATAGTGGAATTTTTATTTATACGTGTTTTAAAGAGCATTCATTTATATAAAAAAAAAAAAAACGCAATTTCATCTACACATTTTTTTTTTACTACAGGTTCACTTTAAACTCTTATCTACAATTATAAAATGGTAAGTGGTACACACAGATGGATGATGAGAGGTTAGATTGTGACAACCCAGTTAAATTTAATTTTGGGTTTACGATCAGTCCCGTGTGCCCTGCTATTTCCCAACCACCCCACCATCAATACCAGTTTAGTAAACTCACCGCCTATCTTGACCTTCAAACTAAATTGATTACTCTGTTGGTTTTCCTTTGCCTGTAGACATTTGCTTCTGTACTGAAAGTTATTCTTACAAACAGTAGGTCCACCATACAGACATCAACCTACCAGCATCTGGACTCTTCCCATATATGTCATAGGGATTGGATAACTGCTATGTCCGGTAGGTAATGCCTTGTAGGATACTTGAGTTTTTGTTTGTAGCAGCAATATCCACATTAAGTGTTTTATCCCAGTAGCCCAAACCAACCTTAAATCCTGTAAAGTCTTAAATTGCTATATTATTCATTAATCCAAGTTCTCAGAGAACACAATAGAGAAAATCTCTAAAGACAGCTGTAAGAGGCAACACCGTGATAAAGTAGCAGTAACATCTAAGAAATCTGTCAGTTCTTGCTAGCGTGCACTGATCAATATGAAATATTTTTTATATAACCTTACTGTTGTTATTTTGAAGTGTTTGTTTTACTGTAAACTCTGCTCCCTTATTACGAACTCAGCATGGTGTCATTGCTGATTGTCTTTTTATTTATTTATTTTATTTTTTTTCAGAATTACATGTTTTAATAAGGAAATAAAATAAAAATGTTAAGTTGCCTCTGGTTGTTTTAAATGTTTGGCGTTTCCTGGTAGAGAAGGGGGAAAAAAAATAAACAAAATGTATTCTAAATATAGTAGTTTCATACTTTTAATATATATTTTTTTTCATGTTTCTAATAATTGGACGATGCAGCAATGTCATTATTACTGTTGATTTTACAAGGGGGGGGAGGAGGGGGATTTTCCACGGGACAAATTTGGAGATCTATGGCCCATCAAGCAGGTTCCCCCTAATCCAGCCATGGAGACCGCAATTTGTGAAAGAACAAGGAAGTATGTAACAAGTCCAAAAGTTATGGAAGAGCAAGATTACCTAGAATAAATATAATAATCTGTGGCTGTGATATGCTTAGCTTTGTTGGCGGTGCCATTTGAAACTTTTCTTAAGAAGGGGATGTAAAAATCTTTATATGTGTGAGCATGTGTGTGTACACACAAAAAATGTAGTGAGCCCCAGCAGGATCTCTGTGGGCATTAGATTGGTAAACAGGACCTGCCAAAAATGGGGTACAATGGCATTGTGTAAGCACCTCTCCTATCCGTTGGATAGACCTGCCGGTGGACATGAATGCTGGAGGCTGCAGGCTTTGATTGATGGGCGATTTTTCCATTTTAATCTTGTGGGTGTAACCAATAAAGTGCCATTGTTACTCTTACTTACAATGTTGCACTATATGTTTTAAAGGGACACTATAGAATATATAGTGCTCTCTGGCTTGCAGGAAGCAGCTACAACCCGTGCTTGACCTCTCTAACCTTCAGCAGCACTCTAGGACGGGGAGGTGGCTGATCCTCGCCCTTGACTTGAAGCCTCTTAGTTTGGTGCCCAGTGGTGCCCACTAGTGTATTGGAATGGCCACCTAGTTGTGATCGCTGGATTATCAGCAAACCGGATAGTCAAAGCCTAAATGATAAAATGGCCGCCCAGCCATGTGCGCCTTCTTGCAGCCATCCACACACATGGATCAATTACTTTAGACCTTCGATCGCATCTGCGACCGATTCTGGGCTAAGCTCTCTGTCCAGTGACATACCTCTGCCCAGCGAACCAAGTCATGGCACCCCTGAGCTGCCCTAAGGTCCAGCTCCACATGTATAGCCTTCCACCATGTGTCTCCATAGCGGCGCGGAGGAGGAAACGGTTCAAGAAGCAGTCGCGGAAAACGGCTGTACCTCGGCACAAACCTCTCCATCCCCAGAGTGACCTACCTGTCCCAGCAGCTTCCAGCTCCAGTAACCAAGCATGCAAGACCGCAGACGCGAGCTCCGGCTAAAGAACTGATTGTCTTCCTGATGAGTATTAAATTGGACTGTCTGGGAGCATGGGCTGAGTGGGGGGGCCTAATCAGAGTGAGCATCGGCTAGGTGACGCTTGATCCTTACCTGCAGCTAAGCTGCTCTACTGTCATAATCAATATGCATAATGTTTCTAATGGCAAAACTGCTCTCATGCTTACCTGTACTATCCCAAAACAGATCACCCAGTGGTACCTACATTCTGAGCTTATCGCTATAGCCATTTATGGCTTATTTCCCTCTATTTTGGTTACAACTCATAGAACTAAGTTTCAGCTGTTTCCCACTCTTTTTATAAAAAGTGCAGTATCAGACAATTCAAGCTTTATTTACTTATTTGTCATTTATACTCTTGTCAATGGCTTATTCAAAATTATTTGTTATCCTCTACACTGCAGAAATAAAGAATATAAAAAAAAAACTCTAAGAGTAAACACTAAAATGCTACAGACCCTGACTCAAGCCATGTTTACAAGATTTCATAGGTGCAAAATATGATTTTTATAAAGACAAGTACCCCAGCTTGTGATCCTGACACAGCCTTCCCATTAGAAACGCAGCTTTCTTTACGTGTTAATACATTTTAGAATTATTTTTGAATAACTGACTTTTTTTATAACAAATTCAAATATGCTTTATGTGAACAGACAAAATAAATAATTTTTTTCTGGTGACTACCAATAGCGCATATAATGTGCAACACATATTGGGTGAAGGAACACAAGTAGCCATTTCGAAAACTAGTATTAATGGCCGAAATCAAACATGCATCCCTAAAACTTTTCAGATTGAGGAGGGACAGTTTCTACCCCATTAGTGGGAATTGCAGACATATAAAACATAATAAGTCGGTGGTGGTCACTATGACCTTACAATTATTAACTATAGAACAAAGAGGGTATACTAAACTTATTAATTGTTCACCTCTACACATGGGTTGTTGTTAGAGAGGAGCCATTTGTTGGCTTCACTGGTTACTAAATGAGGGACCAACTGATAAAACATGTGGAATCTTGCGATAGTGCCAACAATACAGCTTTGTATTCCTTGCACTATAGCAGGGCTTGACAAATGTGTTTGGAATCTAGGACCCAGCTAAAAAAAATTTTTTTTTTTTTTTTTTAAACCCTTAAAGGAACACTATAGTCACCTAAATTACTTTAGCTAAATAAAGCAGTTTTAGTGTATAGATCATTCCCCTGCAATTTCACTGCTCAATTCACTGTCATTTAGGAGTTAAATCACTTTGTTTCTGTTTATGCAGCCCTAGCCACACCTCCCCTGGCTATAATTGACAGAGACTGCATGAAAAAAAAACTGGTTTCACTTTCAAAAAGATGTAATTTACCTTAAATAATTGTATCTCAATCTCTAAATTGAACTTTAATCACATACAGGAGGCTCTTGCAGGGTCTAGCAAGCTATTAACATAGCAGGGGATAAGAAAATCTTAATTAAACAGAACTTGCAATAAAGAAAGCCTAAATAGGGCTCTCTTTACAGGAAGTGTTTATGGAAGGCTGTGCAAGTCACATGCAGGGAGGTGTGACTAGGGTTCATAAACAAAGGGATTTAACTCCTAAATGGCAGAGGATTGAGCAGTGAGGCTGCAGGGGCATGTTCCATACACCAAAACTGCTTCATTACGCTAAAGTTGTTCAGGTGACTATAGTGTCCCTATAAGGAGCAAACTTCTGGAATAAAAGGGAATCATGACATGTCACACATGTCAAGTGTCCTTAAGGGGTTAAACTAGCAAAGTTTAATTTATGAGAAATATACAATTCTTATAGGGACACTATAGTCACCAGAACCACTACAGCTTAATGTAGTTGTTCTGGTGCCTATAGCCTGTCCCTATAGCCTTTTCAATGTAAATGCTGCCTTTTCAGAGAAGAGGCAAGTGTTTACATTGCTGCCTAGTAAAACCTCTAGTGACCGTCACTCAGACGGCCACTAGAGAGTCCTGTGTCAGTGCTGCACAATGTGCAGCACCTTTGTTCAGCGTCTCCATGCTCTGCATGGACGTTTTGAATATTAGCCATAGAGAACATGCGCAATATCTTCCCAATGCTTTCCTATAGGAAAGCATTGATTTAGCTGAGATATTAAAGATTGATTATCTCAGCCAGGAAGGCAACACAAGCCGCGGAAAACTGGCACGGCGTGGGAAAGAAGGACAGTAAAAACACCTCTCTCATGATCGG